CCCCCCTCCCCTTTCGCCGCGGATCTTCACTCGTGAAGATAAAACGGATAAAACTATTTTCGCCTTCTTCCGGGTTTTGAGTACGCCGTGGAATTTTTGTGACGAAGAGAAAGAAAGAGCCGGTTGCCGCTGCTCGCGACGCTCCTTCCGGCAAATGAATAGCGAACGTTACGAGTTCTATCGAACCTTTTGTTTCGCTTTTATCTTGGCGAAAAATCCTATGGTTTTAGACAAGCGTATTTGTGTGCGATAGTACTCTGAAAAAACAAGTCTACTCGATTTTAATAAATCAATTGTTTGATTAGTATCGACTAAATATTTACTAAATATAAAAATATATTTATTTAGTAGAAAAATCTTAACATTAATTTGATTTAACAATCATCTTTTTATTGAATAAATATTTATTTGCTGTAAGTAAATGTTTAGTTGGCACTATTCAAATAAATATTTATTAAAATAGTATGCTTTTCTCAGCGTATATACATACAATGTATATACAGTAAATATTTACTGAACGTGTAAAATTTATCTTGCGGATACTGAAACAAAAAAGATTTTCAATAAAGATAATAATAAAGACTATTTTGTGAACACGTAATATTCCTCCTATTACGACAGATCCTCTATGATAGAGGAAGAAGCATATTTTCAATATATAAGATATTGGCAATACAAATTGTATTGTATAAAATCTATCATGACATTTTTCACGCTTTTTTCGTAAAAATCACTCCTCTTTTTGTTGCAGGCTGTGCCTTCGTGAAACTTTCGTCGCACCAAGAAGCACTGGCAGCAATAAACTCTCTACACGGTAGCCAAACTATGCCGGTAAGTATCCGCCGTATAATATTACAACAACGAGCATTAGTCGATCCCTTTACTCTTCGAGCGCGCGTTTATTTTTTTATCTTTCGATCCGCCTCTTCAGCCGATGACCGCCAGTCATCGTGTTCACGGACGTCGGCGCGTATTTACGCTCGGAAAATGTCACGTACGCGATATTAACAGAAAGGAGGGTAAATATTCATAGAAGCGCTGGATGTGAAGGGGGGCTGATATGAATATCGAGGATAGGGATGCGCGCCATGGCCGGACAGTAGATGGCCGTCTTCCGTTAACGGCAGAGAAGCGAGGGGGGGGTTAGTAGCTGGTGGTTGAAGATCGGACCGTGTAGCCGTAGCAATGGCTGTCGTGCCTGCAAACACCCCAGTAATGACTGGCCAAACAGAAATCTGCATAACACTTGGAGAAGCGCGGCTCGCCTCCTTCTCTCCGCAGCCCTCTGGAGAGAAGAGCGTCCCTCGGTCTCCGTCAAACCGCCGAACTTTCTCGGCTTAGGGTCGGACCAGGAATTCCCAGTTGTAATTGAATTGTCAGTGAGTTCCGTCCGGGATTCCACCTGCTGATTGGCGAAACTTTGCAAAGCCGCTTGCCGGACCCCTGATCGTCCTTGTCGGCGTTATTGCCTATCGACCGCCGCGCCGCACCGCTTCATGCTGGCATGCATTGACGCGCCTAAGGGAATTTGTGTCTCAGACAATTATTGAACTGTGTGCAATTAAAATCGAGACGAAGATTTATACTGAACTGTCGTGCAGCTTTACATTGTCCGCGATTCTAAAATCTTTTAATCTCATCATCATCGCCGGTCGTAAAAGACTGCTAGTAAAAAGAAAAGGATTGAAATATTAAAGAGCTATAGCATAAATTTCTACGGATTCAGTATTAAAAGAATTCGAAAGAATTGGAAAAAAACAAGCAGAGAGTGCTTTTACAAAAAAAAAAAAAATCTACATCCAACTATATATTGCTGATTTTTCTATAAGCATTCTCCTAAGAATCTGACACGAAATATGAAACCATATCGCCTTATTACTTTTTATCAAAGCTACTACAAAAAGAGTAATAGGATTCATCATATTACATGTTCTTGCGCAAAGGGAAGCTTACGTTGCTTTTGATATTTGACATGGGGGATTCGCGATTCGCCCACGTTGTACATTAAACGCGTGTACGTGCGCTGGGGTGAAATCACGTGGGTGGTAGTGCGGAATGGTTACGTGAATATTACTCGTTACAACCCTCTAATCTAATAGCCGAATACACGGGCAGAAGACGGAGCAGGGGTCGACTTCAGGACCGCGACTATTTGCCCACGAAAGAGGCGCGCGCGCGAACCGTAATATGCAGATTGCTTAATTATCGCAACGAATTATGCAAATCTCGACGTCGATGTTACGAGATTTCGTGGCACAGTCGTGACCGAAGGGATGAGAAGTGAGAGGACGAAAGCAGCGGCGAGTGTTGGGTTTAACGCTTTCGCCAAAATGCCGACCTTCGACCCTGAACTATTCGACCCAGAAGAGATACGAAAGGCAAGGTGGTTGCCTTCTATGCGGGTAGCTTAATTATTGCGACGAATTACGCAGATTTCGAAACCAAATGGAATTCTGCACGACGTGGGCGAAGAGTAGCAGGGGAAAGACAGCTATTTGTTAAACAATTAAATAGCAACGAGTTATGAGTATGATTTAATGCAGAAATTAAATTCGCATTTTTCTTCCCCGTTAAAATATACGGCAACAAAAATGCAAATCAATTTATTAATTTGATATTTATTTAATGATATTTAAGAATCACGGGTTTTATTTTGCTACTATTTTTAACCTTTAAATAAGTAAATGGCCACAGTATCCGATGTGTAATTATCTTAAAAACCTTATTCTAGAAATAAAATTCTATTCTAAAAATAAAAAATATTGCCCAGAAACATGAAAGTTTATTATTTTAACATTCCTTTATACCATAAGGGTATAAACAATGTAAATTTAACTTTTTATACTTAATATTAAAAAATATAACTATAATATAAAAGTGAAATCTTTTGGACTATTCTGAGCATTCTGTTATATATCAAAGAAGCAATGATAATCTAATCCTTTGAATTAAATAACATTTTGTTATTTTTAACTTCCACGTATGGAAGTTAAAATCTAAATGTCAGTGGCGACCTATAGATGTGATTAAAAATAATGTATATCGAGTATAATTTAACATTATGAATTTACTTACGAGTATACCTATGAGTATACCTACTTAAAGGTTAAACATAACGTAAGATAATAACAAATGCAAATAATAATAAAAAGATTTTATGTTCTTTTTAGTGAATCGATAAATCTTTTGCAGAAAACAATCGCTGTCGCAAAGTTATACAGTCCTAAGAGTAATTTGACTTAACTATGTTCGTTCCAGTTTTCTCTGACCCCGGAGCAAGATCAACCCCTTCCAATTTTCCTCTCTCCTACAAATCCGTCGATCTATATAGGCACGTATGTATGTGCACGTATAAAAATGTCGGATATATGTACTCACACGTATGTCATTTCGCGTATGTGTCCTCTGCTTTCAGCCACTCGAACACGTCGACACTCTCGGTCACGAAACTGCATTACGAACGCAACATCTCGGCTCATACCTACGAAATGAGATATTGATTTGCAATCTGATACTGTAATACACGACGACGCGCTGTCGGCCTGTAGACGACGTACTGGCTTGTAGCGGGAGCGTGAAATCGTAACACCTTATGAAACACATATGTGATATAGATATACACAACATTAATTATTTTCTTGAAGTAAATGCATTAACATTGATTCTCTTTTTAATTTTTTATACGAATTGTTTAATTTGTAGTGGCAAGTTTTCAGTTTTTTGAAGCATATAATATAAGTAATTCGTATAAATTGAAGAATTGTAGATTTAATAAGATTTGCACAGAAAGAAAAAATCTCACTGTATTGCTAAGAAAAGTGGTTACTCAATTTACTTTCTTTCTTTTAAGTAACGATTACCTTTTACAATGAATATTTTTTCGATAATAATTTTAATATATAGTATTTAATGTAAATTTTTAAAAATTTATTAATATGTACTCAAAACAAGAATTTATTTCCTTTTAAAAAATATTATAAAATTAATTGAAGAAACAATTTTATATTTTATGCTAAACAAATTTAATTTATTTTAATTTAATAATTTTGATTGAAGTATTAAACTTATATTGAGATTCAAATTACATTTTAAATAAATTTAATGCTTGTGAATTTATGATGGATTTGCGGATATATGAATTTTTGAAACATACTTGAAACAAGTATTTATTATATACATACAATATGCATTTTTCTGTGTATAATATTATACTTTTATGTCACTTTGTATAAATATAAGTATTTATATATTTTTATTACATATATATTATTTTTATTATGCATATCTCATATATTTGTCGCGAGAACGTTATTGTATTAGCGTACAAGTATCGTAAATATAATTTATGACTGATATATTACTATTATATAAATACACAGTTTAAAAGTTGTGATAGATTATACGCTTTCCATTAAAAACGCGATATTTTTAATAGATGCATTGTATGTAGCCGCGAGATTAATATTACAGCACTTTCGCTGACAAAACATTACCATAAAACTTGTCTACTGGCACCACACATGCGTATACATTTTATTTCGTTTTCACGAGCGGGATAATGCGATTTACGCCTCTCGGATCGACGCATTTATGCGTCACACGACAGGCAATATTTCTTCGGTCGCTCAATATTTCAGCCGATTTTACAATTCGTCGTTTGCGGATATTACACGCGAGAAGTTTTTAATTTTTAACAATACCGAGACGTTTATATACCAACCATCGGTAGTACAAACATTTTTTTCCGATTTCACGCCCCGTATAATGTGCGGTTTACGCTTCTCATAGCGACGTTTCTGTGTCTTTCCTCGCGAGTAGTATTTCTCCAGCAGCTCGATGTGTTCCCGGATTTCGCTATTCTCTTCGCGTGGCTTTAAACCCTTTTCTTTTTTTTTTTTTCAAATAAACGCTTTAACAGAAAAATAACTTCACCGTCGCAGAGCGCGTAAACCTGTTTGCGGGATCAGCTAGTTTGCCAGGTTAATGCTTTATGAAATATTACAGAAAAATTACCATTGACATGATAACATTACAAACCACGATTCTGTCATGCGAAACGTTGAGGTGACGCCGACTTTACTCTTTTTTCCATGTAAAAGATTACATCTTTTACACTCGCGATGATAATCTACTACAGGATACATGTGCGATCCTGTATCAGCTGCGTAAGAGTATTACACCTCTGGGCTTTGAATTTTTTGCGTGCTTTTTTGTTTCATCACATCGATCCACAGGCTGTTTACACGTCTCGAATCAGAGGCGCGTTCGTGCATCACGCAACGGACAATATTTCTTCGGAGGCTCTCAATATTTTCGCGCTCATCGCCGGCTCCGACGTTCACTCTTTCTCCCTTTCTCTTGCAATTTGTATGTGTGTGTGTGTGTGTGTGTGTGTGGGTGTTGTATATGCTGCGTATGTCTACGTAACGGTACGCAACCGGGCCTCACGTAGTTATGCTTTCCGAAGCGTGTGACATTTCTTGTCACGCCTCGCGAACCCTCCAACACCACGCTTTTCGCGCACCGAGAGAGATCTTCCCCTCGCATACATATATCTTCCGGAAATGCCTCGTAATAAAAGGTAAAAACCGCGTGAAGTGTTTCGTCGCACCGCCCTAAAGCGACGTCCCATTGGTCCTATTTGCGTAACTTTGGCATATCGCCGATTTTTGCCATCTCTTCGCAGTAAAGTGAGAAACGTGCGATAGTAGTCTACGTCTATACAAATTTAAAGCTATTTATATATTGTATAATCAATGTGAGTGACATTTTATTGAGTACGTGACGAAGTAAAAAGAAAGTCTGAACTCTTAATCGATTTAATAAGAGAA